GATCGGTATGATTCGATTCTTATGCTGTTTCTTCAACAGCAAGAAGAAAAAGCAGAGTAAGAGGCGTTCCAGCGGTAATGGAGGAGGAGGTTGTTGTGGTGGCGGAGACGGTGGCTGTGGAGGCTGCGGCGGTGGTTGTGGAGGTGGTGGAGATTAATTGAAGATAGTCTAGCTATGTGATGATTTCTTGTGGCATGTGATGTATTTATATATGCTTGTTATAAGATTTTAACGTGTGATATATCGTGAGAATGGAAATTGATTTCTTTTGTCATGTAATGTAATGTATCGAATTTATGTGAACAGTCAATACTAAAATATTTGACTTGTATCGCAAGCTATCTATTTATTTTTTCCTTGTTTTGGCTATCTAATTTCAGTTTGCTGTTGTTTAGTACTGTGACTAATGAAATGAATTCCAACTATATTAACACTGTTGGAAAAAAGAAATCGTGAATAAAGAAACTAGGTTTCTATTTGACCATGTATAGTAAACCTAGAGGGGAAGTCTCATTTGTCTGCTATTGGAATTTCTTGTGCAATTTCATGTATATATCTTTGTCAACGAATCTTTGAGAAAGACAAATAGTTTACGTAAGTTTATATTATTTAAATATATTTTTGTCAAAGTCAAAGGCAATGTGGGTCTATATAAAAGGTACATATAGCATATATTTGAATCAGTATTCAGAACATTTAAAAACAAAAGCTTATACACATTTTGTTTTATAGGTGCTTATACATTTATTGTTGACCTTTATCATAATCTCTGTTGATTGCATTGCATTTGTTGTACGATCACGATGTGTCGAATGCTATGTTGTTGCTTCTGCCGCAAGAAGAAAAAGCCGCGAGATGTGAAAAAGGGTAAAAAGGGAAAGAAAGATGGAGGCCTTGTTTTGAAGCAGACTAAGCCTAAGAAGAAGCGTCGCGATGATGTAGGAACTATAGGAATAGACTCATGTTGCTGTTGTGGCGGTGGTGATGGTGGCGGAGATGGTGGCGGAGACGGTGGTGGTGGCGGCGGATGTGGAGGTGGTGGTGGAGGCGGTGGATGTGGAGGTGGTGGTGGAGGCGGTTAAAATATGAGGTTGCTGTAGTTCATCAACAAATAATGATCATTTCTTGTGTGTCGTATGTTTTTTTGTCAACTTGTGTGTCGTATGTTTATTTGTTTGAAAAAAAATATTTTATTTATATATGTAATATAAGAATTATTTTAAGGCGTGATCTCTTGTTAGACTGAAAATTGAATATATACATTATGATGCATCATATCAGTTAGAACACTAAAAATTTAAACTAATAAGAAAGTTTTATAAAAGTAAAAGAAAACCATTTTAACAAAAAAAAAAAAAAAGTAAAAGAAAACCATGCTATATGAAATTGTATATTCATTCTTTTGAAAATATTATCATACTAGAAAACTTTAAAAATATTTGTTTTAGATTCATCATAAGATTAATATTGTTTTTTAAATGAAACAAAAATATCATATTGATTGATTACTTAGTAATAACTAATAATACACGTACAGTTTCTATCACATAATTTTTTAAGGACACATAATATTATTTAACTTCCATCTTGCGCCAAACGATCAGCTTGTTTAGTCGGTCGTCGGATATGTTTCTATCTCATAGCGTATGTATTGAAGAACTCTCGCAGTCACATTACCTGTCGGAGAGATCATCGATTCCCAAATATCTTCTTTTAGAAGATATGGTTTTTGATTTAGAGTTGAAAACAATGTGTCAAATAATATCTGGATATAAAAGCACACGCTTTCTTATGACCAAATGTACCATCCGTAGACTTTTTTTTAATTACCCAACCTAATTGTGGTCATCTCATTGGTTATTCGATTGTTTATAGACCCGTAATACAGTTAGGGGTGTCAAAATGGGTTAATACCCATGGGTTACCCGAACCCGCTCATGATTTTAGTGGGTTTGGGTATAATTTTTTTACCCATATATATAAATGGGTTTTAGTGGGTTACCCTATTAGGGTTATGGGTTTAATGGGTAAAACCCATTAGGGTCATGGGTTACCCGTGGATTTCATAATCAAAACTAAAAAGTAAAATTTATATATATATCTATATTAATATATTATGTAAAATTTATATAAATATATGTAAAATATCTTCTATATCAATATTTTGTTATTGTTATTATTATAGCCAAGGTTCTAATATTTTTTCCAACTCGTTTGTAGACAATGAAGCCGAAGATGAAGAATGAGGCCGAAGAATTCGATGCGGGAGAATCGGATGCATCTAAAGAAGATTCAAATGTTCTTTAAATTAAGACTATTTTTTCTTTTTTATTTGGTTTTATGGTTCTTTGGATTTGTGGTTTTAAGATTTTAGGATGCTTTTCTATTTTAATATCTAGATTTTTTTTAATTTATTATTTAAAAACTTTTGTTGGTTTACAATTTTATGTTATTTTTTTGGATTTTTATTATTTATATATTTTATTATACATATATGGGTACCCATATAACCCACTAAGCCAATAGATTTCTATAATAATGGGTTTGGGTATGTAAATTCAACCCATATAAATATATGGGTCGGGTCAAACCCGTCCATTAAACACTCGAACCCATATGGGTTTGGGTCGGGTCGGGTCGGGTCGGGTTACCCATTTTGACACCCCTAAATACAGTTGATTTGTCAAAGGTTATATTTATTTATTTTGGGTAAAGATTAATTAGTTGTATACTAAGTCTTACAGTTTATAAATCTTCAAACGTACACAACATTAAAATAGCGTACTTGGATCGGCGTCTTGAACACTAGTAATTAGTTTCAAAAATGTTGAAGGTCTCCGTCATGACTTTGCTATTGACTATTGAGTCTAAGGAACATAAAAATAAAAGCTGATGTGCAAGAATTTTCTGAGCTAAAAATTGGGTTAGATGGTTCAATAAATCCAAATGAGAATTTGATTTGCATGAACCCGGCGGTCATTAGTGATGTTACTAAATAAAAGCTGAGAACTAATATTATTTAAGGAAAAAAAATATAGATTATCAATAATGTTACTATTTTTAGTAATTAAATTTGGTTTGAGTTCATATATATTAATTTCTAAAAATACATTTTAGAAATTAGATTATCAGAGATACCTGGTCTGTCCAGTGTTTTCCTGAATTCTTTAATACAGTATCTGAGATCTCACTTTCATATATGGTTAGACAGTGATGGATATATTTGTGGGTATGGAATATTTATACTTTGTTATACAAATATTATTGCATACATATATAGAATAGAACCATACTTGTACACAATATGGATAGAAATCACATTTTTCGAATTATTAATTTCTGTGTTATAATGATGTAATTATACCGGACAGAAATCACATCATTCGATATAAAACTTTGAATATCTAAAATATTTAGGTTGCCCACACAAATATTAAAATAGAATACCCGTTTAAAATAATACTGACAATGATGTTTCGAATATTTCTCACATAGTCACACGTTTTCGTATTGACCAAAAGTATTTCACTCCATAGTGTGTTAGAATGATGTTACAAATATTCAACCGATTACGGTGATATCATTTTATCTTTGACCTTACATCAAATAAAATACAGTGTTCACTACAAAAATTGTATAAGACGAAAACAAGAAAGAGAAGAAAACCCTTTAATAGACAAAATCAAAACTCTGTATTAATTCTTGAAGACTAAAATCATAATTTTAAATAATATTCTACACGATAGAGAATGAATATTTTTTTTTTTGAATTTAATGTTAAATTATATTCAAAAGAAAAATAAACGTTTTCTACAACTTAATGCGATGCAATTCGAATCATTTTTAAGACATTAAAAAGAAAACAGAGTCTTCTCTAGATCCTTGATGCAAACCAAGTTTGGAGTCCGCTTGAGGCTCTTCTCCCTTCCATTGTGTTCAACCGATTACGGACATTTTTATCAATTAACTTGACGAGTATCTCTGTTGGTAAAGGCTGTTCACCGTGTCTCCTTCTATTCCTCTCATTCCATATGAGTGAATAGAGTTTTGAAACGTGTACCTTAGCAAGAAAGTCTTTGTCTTGTCAAAGCCCTCCCCTTTAATAAGCTTCATGATTTCTTGCCAATGTTCCGAGAACTTATCCAACAGTAGCCCCAGAACCAATTCTTTCCAAACTGTCTTCGAGTACGGGCACATGAAAAACAGATGCTCTCTTGTTTCTATAGGTACCCCACAGAACACACAACTTGAGTTTGCATTCTGCTTCCAAGTCAACATTCTCTCCCCTGTTGCTACTCTGTTTTTAACCACTAGCCATGTGATAAAAGCATATTTTGGAGTTGCAGCTTTGAACCATATCTCTTTGAATCCCTCCATCATTGGTTTCGAAGTGCGGATCTGCGCCCATGTTTCTTTGGTCGAGAAACTTTTGCGATAGCTACTGTTTTTCCCTTTCCATAGGGCCACATCTACCTCATTTCCTCTCAGCTGCATTCTTGCGTTTTTAATTGCTTCTTCAACACTGTTTAGCACTGCTTGGCGATGTTTTCTCCTTCTAGACATTGCCATCACTTCTCTCACTGAGCTAGATAGAGGGATCCCCAAGTCAATGCAGCCTCGCTCCCCTAGCTTCTCCTTAAGACATCCAAGGTCAGACCATGTGTCGTGCCAAAAAGATGTAGTGTCACCATTCTTAACTTCCACTCTATGAAATTGTTTTGCGAGAATGAATATTATGCTGGTATGAGCTGTGAGCAGAAACATCTACGAAGTTGTGTCAGCGAAAAACTCAATGCATGTATTTTTGTAAATAATAAAACGCAAAGCAATTTGAAATTTATGGAATTTCTTTGGAAATGTATAAAAATAATCAAGAAGAAAGTGTCTAAATTTTTGCAAGTAATGCTGAAATTTCCTTTGAAATTTCGTGTATGTTTAAGAAACTAAAGAGGTTTATTTCATAATCTTTCTATATAAAAGGACACTATTCTTGCATCTTTTTGGTATCAGCCCAGTTTCACAAAAAAAAATTAAAAGACATAATGGAGCCTGTTGTTAATGTCATCATTATATTAGGTGCCTGTGGTGTTTTCGTGTTGACTGTCATATGCTGTGTCTCCCATAGGAAGAAAGAGCCTTTGTCTCAGCCGCGGGATTTGGAAAAAGGTTTAGCGGGAATAAAAGATGGAGGACTTGTTGTTTTGACAGGAACAGCTGTTGTAGGTGCGGCTGTAACCACAGCACGTTCTGGCGGTTGCGGCGGTGGAGGAGATGGTGGCGGTTGTGAAGGTGATGCTGGTGGAGGAGATGGTGGTGGAGGAGATGGTGGCGGTTGTGGAGGTTGTGGCGGCTGTGGAGGTTAGTTTGTGGGTGTGAAATTATCTCTTTATTAACTTTGCATATAATGTAAGATTTAAACTTTTTTGAGGTTGGAAATTGTATCATAAGGTCAAGAAATGATCGTGTAAATATGAATTGTTTGTTTACAAAATATTAATTTTCTTAGAAACTTTTTTGTTTTCTTTTCTTTTTTGGTGAGTAACCGGGAGAACTTTTTTTTTTTTTTTTTATATAATTTGGATAAAAAAACCATGCATACCAAAAAGTATAAACAATGATAGTTGGAATTTTGTCAATACTCTTTTCGTTTCAAATTATTTATCATTTTAAATATTAAATTTTGTTTTAAATTAGTTGTAGTTTTATGTTTAATTAAAAATGATTTTTGACGAAATTTCCTTTTTATCCATATTTTTTAAGCTTATTAATAAATAATTTTTATATAAAAAACTATATATGAGTTACAAAAAAAACATAAACATGAAATATTTTTTTAATATATGTGAAAAAACTTTAAGCGAAAAGCAAATTTTTAGCGAAGGAAGCAGTAATTAATTGCAAAAACTAAGACGATAATCATGATCTTTTAAAAGTAAAGTAGTAAAAGGTTATATTCTAGTGAATTTTTTTTTTTTTTATGTTTTTACTGATAGAACTACATCCGTTGATTATTTGAATACTTGGAAATTAGGATTTAAGATTCCTCCCCTTAGGACTATCACAAAAGCTGTTAGAATCGTTTATCATAACCCTTGTAAAATCTTTTAAATATCAATTCATCAACAATTGACTACAATAGCTAGGAGGCCTTGGAAGTCTATTTTTTGAAAAAATCTTAAAAACTTTGATAAACCCTAAAATAATAGTAAAATTATCTAAACCAATTAAAACAATAGTAGTAAATAAATGGAAGATATTTGGTAACTATCCAAATATCTCGCTGCATCATATCAATTTTTTTTTTATAGTTAATGTAAGTAAGAGTTTTTAAAATCCCTCGAAATGAAAATTTATCTCCTTTTTTAGCATTGACGAAAGTAAAATTTTGTTTTTGCATAAGAAGAATAGTAACAAATTTGGTGATAATTTCTGGAAAATACTTGGGTTTTCACCCTTAAAGTTGAATCTTTTTATTTACCCCCTCTTTTTCTAACCAATCAAAATCTACCACCTAATTAAAAAAAAAACTAAACTTATTTAATTGTAAAATCTAATATGCCACCAAAACTAAGTTATATATCGGTTTGGTTTTATAAGAGAGGGTTAAGGTTTAGATTTTATAATTAAACGAAGTTAAATATTGGTTTGAGTTTATAAACAGATTTAGATTTTACAATTAAATGAGGTTAAATATCAGTTTGAGTTTATAAAGAACGGTTAGGATTTAGATTTTACAATTAAACGAGGTTAAATGTTGGTTTGAGTTTATAAAAAAGAATTAAGGTTTAGATTTTGTAATTAAACGAGATTATATGTCGGTTTGAGTTTATAAAAGAGTGGTTAGGGTTAAAATTTTATAATTAAATGTGGTTAAATAATTGTTTTGATTTTATAATAGAGTGATTATAGATTAAATTTTATATTTAAATGAGTTTAATTTTTCTTTCATTAGATGACAGCATCTGATTGGTTAGAATAAAAAATAGTGAATAAAAAGATTCACCCAAAAGATGAACCTAAGAATTGTTCATAATTTCTTTTTAAGTCATAGTTTTTGGGTTGGAAATTTCTGTGAATCTAAGCATGCCATTGTAGTGTGAGGTAAGCTATAAGTTTAAATACGAATCAAAATCTAATGGGTTGATATTCAACCAAAAATGTTGAATCTTAGGATCATGGAATATGTAGATATTCAAACTGGAAAAAGAATGAAACTTGACATTAATATCTTAAATAAATATTCAACCTCTTATATATACCGACCCTAACCGTTGAAACATATATACTATATCTTTATCCTCCATATACAGTTAAAATAATAGAGAACCCATGCATACACCTTTCTTATATTATTTTCCCCCAACATTTTCTCTTGGTTTATTTCTATTGGTTTTGGAAAGGATTCTGTTTTCATCAAATATATCAGAACTCTATACTAATTTTTGAAAATTATAATTACAGTTTTAAATAATATTTTACACGACCAAGAATGAATATTCTTCTGTATGTGCAGAAACATCTGGTATGCGAAATACTCAAAAGCAAGTTGTAGTAACTTAAGTTTTGTTGAAAAGAAAAAGTAATCAAGAAGAAAATGTCTTAATTTTACTAGAAAGATTGAAATTTCCTTTGCAGTTTCATGTCTGTTTAATAAACTAAATAGGTTTATCGTTTATGCCATAACATTCTATATAAAAGGACACTATTCTCGCATCATTTTGGCATCAATTCAGTTTCACATAAAAAAAAAAAAATTAAGAAGAAATAATGAATCCTTTTGTCATTGTCTTTATTATATTATGTGGATGTATTATTTTCCCGTCAATGGTCATATGTTGTGTCTCCTCCCATAGGAAGTCTTTGTCTCAGCCGCGAGATTTGGAGAAGGGTAACATAGGAACAAAAGATGGAGGACTTGTTGTTTTGTCAGGAAATGATGCCACGGCAGATTCTGGCAGCGGCGATTACAACGGTTGTTGTTGTGGAGGCGGTGGTGATGGTGGAGGAGATGGTGGCGGTTCTGGAGGTAGCGGTGGCTGTGGAGGTTAAGGGTTTCGTATAGTCATCATGTCTCGTGGGATTTGATAATGATCTCCTTAATTATCCATGCATAAAATGTAAGATTTTAACTCGTGAGTAAGGAAATTGTATCATAAAGTGCTTTAACAAAAAAAAAAAGTGCGTTAATAAAAAAAAAATTGTATCATAAGGTGAAGAAATGATCGTGTAAATGTAAATTGCGGATTTACCAAAGATTATTTTTGTATAAACTTTGTCAATCCATGAAATAATAAGTCAAATTTGTATGGTATGTGAAAAAACTTTTTAAATAGTGTATATACGGATCCTATACTAATATTTGGGAAGTACATCCTAAGGATCATAACGTTGATTTTGTAAGAAATTACAATATATGCCATTAGAGATTTCTAATCATAAAATTTTATTTCATGTCACTAATATATATAAACGGGTCAACGGGTTTAAAGATATTAAAAGATTTTGTTTATATAATTCATATAATTCGAAAAAATATTTCTTCAAACGATTACACAATTAATATAATTTGAAAATGTTATATACTAATCAATTCGAAAATGTAACACAATTAGTAAAATTGTTATATACTAATATATTATTCGAAAATGTGATCGAAAATGTTATTGAAAACTAGAATTTAACCCGCGGTATACCTCGGGGCTATATTTTTTTAAAAAATGTAATGTTATTTTTTAAAAGACTAACTGAAGATATATCATATTAATTTGTATTTTGAAATGTAGATATCTATCTATCAATTTTTGAAGTATAGATACGAAAACATATATTTTTTTTAAGTAACGATGTATGGTGAATTTTAAAATTTTGAATATTTTACTCTGCAGTATACCGTGGGTCGGTTTTTTTATAACTAAAAAATTTAAATTTAAGTTGGATTTGTTTTGTTAATATTGTTTCTTTTGTTTTGTGTTTAAGATTGTATAATTGTATTTTGATTTTTAATTTAAGGATTTCATCCGTGATATACCGTTATTTATTAATATCGACCCAAACCCGTCATCCCATATAAACCCGTCTATATTATTTCGTTAGCTAAATTATTAGTATTATAAAATCCAAGAAAATAAATTATTATTGTTATAAAATCTAATAATTTTAGGATCTCACCCGTAGTATACCGTTCTTTGAACGATTTTAAATTTATACTACTAATATATATTTTAAATTTATCATATAAAGTATATGATTTCAAGTTTTTGTTTTTTTTTTTATTTAAATAAAACAACGGCTTAAATGATGATAGATATAGTTCTTTTTCCTGTATGTGTATTTGATTTTTCTATGTGAATATTTTGATTATTATAAATTAGTATTTTTATTGCTATGCAAAATGTTAATATAAATATTTGCTATAAATTTTTTTGAAGATATATGGAAAGATTGTGTAGAGATTTTTAGAAACAAATTAGGAAAGATATTGTTTGGTTAATATCTTTTATTTAAATATTGTAAAAGTAATAATAAATGTCAATGGCATTCTTTGTAAATACTGCCCAATCCCAGGATTTATTTGCTAAAAGTGTTCCAAAAATGTATATATCTATACTATTAATTGGGAAGCATTAAATAATAAATAACCTTATAAAGGGTAAAGAATTACAAAGAATGCCATTAGTATTTTAATAACTGAAGAACAATTTGAAACGAAATTAAAAGGACAAAATAGTCAAGGCAACTTAACAAAAAAAAAAAAAGGACGCGGATCTATGACCCGATTTGGGGAGTACTCGGATCTTCTGAATTTTAGGAGCATTGACTGCGGACCCGCATATCCGGTTCAACAACTTTTACCACCGAAACCTGCAAAAGAGAGCAGCAAATCAGAACCAAGTATATATTATCGATTTTTAGTAACTAACATAACTATTGAATATTGAATATAAGATACAATATTCCAAATCAAAACATAACAATTAATGATTTTTCCAAAACAAACTTTCCCTATATATCATAACCGGATTATTAGGAGCATATTCCTATAATCAGGATTATTAGGAGCATATTCCTATAATCAAAATTGTTAATTACATTTTTGAAAGATTTTAATAGATTTGTTCTTATCAAACCTAAACAGTAACAATGCATAACCGATTTCTTTAGCTTATAAATAGAGAATCCGAGCTCATCATTCTAAAACCACATACAAAACTCCAAATCTATATACCTTTATAACTTTAGATCTTCCTTTTTTTATTATTGTTATTGTTGTCGTTGAGTTTTTAACTCCGACCCTTTTATCTGTATCTTCCTCCTCTATTGGAGTTTCTTCCTCCTCTAATGGAGTGTAAACCTTTTATCTAATAGATGATTAAGTTCTTCCTAGATAAAGCATTAGAAGATGGTAGACAAAGTAATCGTTTAATTTTCATAAGAACCTTGAAGGAACATATGGAAATTGAAAAACCTTATC